GGGTAGTGTAAGTTTTTGTAATTTAACAGAGAGTGTAAAAAGTGGTTAAAGATACATGGTAGAGTTTAGGGAGGGATTAATTCATATCTTTCTCAATCATGAGGACTGGTTGCCATTTCATAAGACACTATATATAGCTCATCAGTGCGGCTAGATATCCGGTTGCCTGTTGCTAGGATCGAAACCCGACTGAATTGGTGTCAGTCGGAGATTCTAACCAGTAAGCCGTCGGAGCACGGTAGGGATGAAAGTGGATTTTTAGCGTATTTATTTTTATAAGCACGCCCAGCGACCGACAGTGACTCAATTCGCATCGAATATATATATATATATATATATATATATATATATATATATATATATATATATATATATATATATATATATATATATATATATATATATATATATATATATATATATATATATATATATATATATAAAATAAAAAATACCACATACATACATATTCATACTCATACATATGTACATATATATATACATATATACATATGCGCCTAGAAAATCTCATTAATAAGACAAGAAAATCCTAATACTAAGGCATAAAGATCCGGACATATTACTGAACAAACATAACGAGTTGGTTTTTAAATGTAGACATAAAAACCACCTCAATTTAACTAAATATGTTTAGAAATAACTATATAAAAAGGAAAATATTAGTTTTGTTTTTGAAATGAATGTATAAACACATGGATGCTGGTGCATATTCATATGTATACAAAAATGTAGATGAACTTGGATATTGATATGTGATTTTATATATGTATGTATGAACTGTAGGCGCATATGTATATATATGTACATATGTATGAATATAAATATGTATGTATGTGTTATATATGGGTGCATGCCTAATTTTTGTCGAGGCATTTTTGTATACATACATATATATATATATATATATATATATATATATATATAGTGTCTTGGATATGAAATTGCATGTAGTCTATGTATGTATATGTATATAGATGTAAATATTTGAGATTTAATATTTGTAATATGTGTGAATATATTTAAAATATAGTAATATAAATACATATGTATGTGTGGATGTTTATGGGTATAGTTCTTTTTTATATGTATTATATATATATATATATATATATATATATATATATAGAGAGAGAGAGAGAGAGAGAGAATGTATTCAATGGAAGGACATAAGGTCATTTTTATTGAAGTTTTAAAATTACTTTTATTAATATTTAATGTCACTTTCTCTTTTAATTTTATAATTAGAATTGTGAGTATGAATATTTATCATCTGGAGGTATTTTCATTTTAAATTGATAATTTAACCTAAATGTAAATGTACCAATCTTTAACTATCAATATTGATAGTAAAATATTAAATTAGAAATATTTGTTGGGATATTTAAACACTTCAGTTGTCACCTAACGTTAAACATTAACTATGAAATTAAACAAAAATCTAAATAAATTCAAATATAAAAATATATGTAATTATTTGTAAATGTATGTGTATGTAATTTATGTATGAATATGTATAGGTACCTGTGTATATCGCAACATGTGTGTCTATGTGTGTAATTACGCATCTAAATGAACGTATGTATATATGGGATTTGCATGAATATGTATGTGATATATATAAGAAGAAACAAAATCTTTAACATTACCCTCAAATATTACTCCATTTTAATGCGAAACCTAAACTTTAAGTTAGAAAGATTACCCATATAAAAATAATTACAAATTACATTCATAAATTAGATTCAAACTGATAAAGATGTTACCGTAACTGTTCTTTACAATATTAAAACAGTACGATTGGTCGAGTAAACAAACTGTTACAATTTAAAAAAAATTTAATATGTTCTCTATAAATGTGTTAATAAATATAGTATTTAATTTATATTAAATCCCTAAACTATTTGTAAAAAAATTAAATATTTAAATTGATAGCAATCATCATATTAATTTCTTCGGGTTTTTTTTTTAGACATCTAAATCTCTATCAAGCATTAAAATCTATTCTTTACACGAATTGCTATAACCCAATTACAGCCTCTTTCTCTTTACTTCCCTCTCCCTCTTCTTTCTTTTTCCTTTTTCTTTTCTCCCTACTCCCCTCCCATTTCAATATATCACTTCCGTTAAGTTAACCGTTTAAATAGGTCATGGTCTGGTCACTCCTCCTCCCCCAATACTAAGTATGCTTGAGAGAGATATTAAATTAATCCCTCCCTAAACTCTACCATGTCTCTTTAACTACTTCTTTTACACTCTCTGTTAAATTACAAAAATTTACACTACCCATCAATTTTCATTTCATTTTTCGTTTCATTTCATTTTTGGTAGTGCTATCAGATGATCCGGCGTCCTTTAAAAGGGCTCTGGTGAAATAAATTATTATAATGGTACCTTAAAGTGGTCTGTTTTTCTTTAAATATATATATATATATATATATATATATATATATATATATATATGTATGTATGTCCCTCGAACCTCCTAAATATTGTGAGGTAGCCGTATAACCAACTGGGATTCCACACGAAGGTGTCGGAAAGGCAGAAATATTTGAGCATAGTTCTTTTGTTTTTGTTTTACATTTCTTGTATAAGCGGTAGGTGGCTGTATCTGCGATCATCGAAGACTAGCTCTTCTCTGAAATCGTCTCAACCCAAGCTGTTATCTCTTCGTACTCGATATAATACCTTCGTCAATAACGGTCAGGTTTCTGAGAATTCAGTCTTCACTCCAGAGAAAACTCTCAGAGCATATCACCAATTCCCGAAAAAAAAACTAAAACTTGTTTTCAGACACCATTATCAAAGCCGGAAAGGTTTTCTTTGGAAGTTCGTAATTTCATATTCGCGTTATGCCGACTGATCTTTGGCAATTAGAATCCATAAACCGTCTTCGAAACGACGGAAGCAACAAATATTGTGAAGTATTATGGAATAGCTGTGACCTTAATGGAGTTTAAACGCGGCTCTCTCAATCTCGTATATATAGATTGCTATACGAAAGTAGAATTTGAATTGCTAATCGCCACTAAAAGATGATGAGAGGGGCGTGCAGAAACCGAATTTCAGTTCTCTTCTTCACGGAACAATTCTTCGAGAGCACATAATAACCTTGGCGTCGGCATTCTATCATACACCCGAACAATTGTGTTATTCTCATTTCGACAGCACCATTCATTCCCAGCCACTTCAGCCATATTAGTTTCAGCTCAGCAACACCATTAAACCGATTATGGAGTTTTGGTTAGCTACTTTAAATGGCCGATGGCAGAGATCGAAGTCAAGAAGTGCCAGACACGTTCGAGAACTTTAGCAAAAGAATATATGGCTTCCTTCTTTTTACTTGATGCAGACAAGTGCATTTCAAGAAGATAATGTTTGAAATGGTTGATGATTCAGCAGTCAATCGTTTCATTCGTCTTCGAAATGATTCCTGTAATAAACATCTCTTTTCATTCTTGCGAATAGGCAATATTTAGGCGCTTCGACATGCAATAAACTTCTGGGGTGATTTATTGCCAAACTCATATATAGACAAAGAGCCAAATAATATAGTTTATTTTATATTATATTTTATCAACGCGGCGGTAGTAAAAAAAAATAATATCGAATTGGCTTTATTCTTTGGTGTCTTATATTATGTACTGTAGCCCTTCAGGACCTAGGCGATCATGGCTCTCTACATCTTCCTGTCCCTCTAAATAAGTTTCGTCTTTTTGGAATCTCTCACACTGTTTTACCAGCTATTTCCTCAAGCTCATCAAGTATTTTCTCTGTGCCGTTTTCACTCAATCTGTCGAAATTGGTGCAGATTAAAAAAAAATACCAATGGACAGAAAGTAAGAAAATCCTATGTAAATCTCTTGAATTTTTAATGCCATGTTCCGTCACGATATATGCCATCATAACTCTCCAAAGTTTCCTGATTTTTAAAGACGCGATCCTTCAGGACATTGGCCAGCATGTCTATCAAAGATTCCATTTAACGTTTAATGACATAATCCGTCAGAATGTAGGCGATCATGATCAACACAACTTCCTATTATTTTTTTAATGCGGATATCCCCAAGGAAGTGGAAATAATGACTCTCCACGGCTTTATTTTCATTTTTAACGCCAAAATCATTCAGAATATTGAAGAGCATGATCTCCACAGCTTCCTTTTTTTACTGCGATAATAATTCATGACGTAGGGGATCATGCATTTAAACCTTCCTTCCCTTTTTTAACGCCATGACCATTCAGGATAAAGGCAATAAACATTATCGAGATTCCAGTCATTACTTAAACGCTATGATCGTTCAGGCTTAACAATTTACGTTCCGTCTGGTTGTATAACACCATGATCTTTCACGATGTAAGGGATCTTGACGTTTTAGATTGCTTTTTTTGTTTATAACGCCATGATTCTTCAGGATATAGCCGATCATGGCGATCTAGATATGTTTCTTTTTATAAGGCCCTGATCATTCAGGATGTAGATGAAAATGATGGTTTAAATTCCTTTTCTATCTATAACGCCATGATTCTTCAGGATATAGGCGATCATGATCATCTTGTTCTGTTTATAACGCCATTGTCCTTCAGGAGAAAGGTAACGATGAGGATCTAGATTGCTTTTCTGTTCATAAAGCCATGATCCTTCAGGATATAACCGATCACGACGATCTTGATTCCTTTTCTATTTATAATGCCATGATCCTTCGGGATATAGGCTCTCATGGCGATCCAGATTGCTTTTCTTTTTTAACACCAGAGTCCTTCAGGATGTAGGTGATCATGACCTCTGCAGTTTCCTTTTCTCATTGTAATGCGATGATCCTTCAAGACGTAGGCGATCATGACTCTACATGTCCATTTGATTAATTATCTTTAAATTGCCTCCACTTCTTGAGAAATATTTGAGAGTGGTTTCTCGTTGCCTTCTCCAAATTGGATATTTAGTGTTGGCTAACGAAAATAATAAATCGAAACTTTTTACTTCGAGGCTTGTGATCGCAGAAACCGAGTAATACTTGTGTAATTATATGATTATCCGTGTTTCAAAAAATGGATGGATATATAGAAAATGTTCGAGTGTGAATAAACAAACAAAAGAAAATAAATAATATTGACAAGATTGTTGGCAAATCATTAAAGGGACAGAAATGGACTACGAGTTGTAAATGAAAATTATTTAGAAGAATGGCGCGAATGAACCTGTCGAAACGCAATAAACTGTCAGGGAATTGCAATTAAATCGTTGAAGTTGTTTTAATTTTGAGGATATTGTTCATCTATTGCCGACTTTTAAGAAGAAAATGCGAAGATAAAAAGCGGAAAATATAGAATTGAGTGAAATGGTGATGAATGTATTTTAGGAGAAATGAAAGAATACCGTGACCATGGGAAGTGGGGGCAAATAATGATATCAAATGGAAATTAAAATCGATTGAAAATGAAGAAGGCGTCGACAATCAAAAACATGGCGGAGGTCGAAGGGTTGAGTAAATGTGAAAGAGGAAAGGTGAAAAGAACAGGAGAAAAAAAGGAAAGAGAATCAGAAGAAAATGCCAAATTATATGAAATGATTATTTAAATTTTATGGACAATTATGGAAGTAAACAAAAGGAATCCAGGTCGACAGGAATTGTCTGTTCAATGACGGCGTGGATTTTTGATTCGAATTATTACCGCATATCAACACCAATGGATCATGTGATGACGATATGATTTTTAGGATAGATTCATATGAATAAAATATGTATTCCTAGTACGAAATCAGTTATTGGATCGGCTTTCATTGACGTATTTTTGTAAAGAGAGGTTTTGTCGAGAGTCAAATGTATTTCGAGTAATATTTATTATTTAAAAATGTTGTTTTAAATTTATTGCTGTTATTTTTTACTATAAAATGTATTTTAATAATTTAATAGCGTTTTGACCCCAGTTTAAGGGTTACGTATTTGCCCATCACTGGAACCCTAACAGGTACTACCATCCTGGATAAGGGTCGGTTTGGGAACGCCATCAATTAAGAAGTGGTTCCACGTTCTTCAAAACCTCCCGATCGGGATGGAGCTTATCGACATACCCATGAAACGCATCGATTGGAAAATTTCCAGAATACAAGCGTATGAAAATTAATTCAAATTGAAACAAATGAAATTCTGCTTAAAACAAAACTATTCGATTTTTGATCGAACAAAATATTATTTTATGTTGTTTTTTGCAATCTTCACGACTGTTTTGTCACAGACTTGTTGGAAAAACTGATTGATTTTTACTCGATTTTTATATCCCATGATTGGCATCAAACTTTGACTAGTGATCTACTGTTTATTTTTAAAGAAAGAAAAATATTTTCATGTGAAAACAATGTGATACCATGCATTTTCTTCTTTGTATCAGTTATGGAGTATAGTGTGAGAGGTGAAATTGTAATCTTGGGCAGGATTGGTTATTAGCTACAGTCTTAGTTCTGTTTAACTTAAGGGTTCACTTGATAAAGGAATTGTTCAATGGAATAAGTGGCACAAAGCAAATCTTCACAGGTTAGGTTGGTTTTTATCAGGGATATAACACTTTCAGATAGAATCAGATAGAATTGCCAATGACACCTGTGATAATCTAGATATGTTTCTTTTTTATAAGGGCCTGATCATTCAGGATGTAGACGAAAATGATGGTTTAAATTCCTTTTCTATCTATAACGCCATGATTCTTCAGGATATAGATACGCATCCACTACGGAGAATTGAAACCCGAACAGTTATGATAGGAGGCAAACGCTTTACCAGCGGTACCAACGGGTCTCAGTGACGAAGCCGTAACGAATTAGACTCAATATAGCGCCGCTCGATCGCATATTCTGTTCCGAATTTTCTCTTTACACATAGGACTGTGCCCCCCCCGCTACTGTCTACAAGTTGATCAGTACAGAACATTAGAAGCCGGTTCAAACAAGGATATACAGACAGAAATAATTAATTTGAAATAAACATAATTGAGTAATTCATCGTTGGTATGGCGTTTGCCTTATAACCTCACTGTTCGGGTTTCAATTCTCCGTAGTGGATGCGTATCTAAATCGCCATGATCGGCTATATCCTGAAGAATCATGGCGTTATAGATAGAAAAGGAATTTAAACCATCATTTTCGTCTACATCCTGAATGATCAGGCCCTTATAAAAAAGAAACATATCTAGATTATCACAGGTGTCATTGGCAATTCTATCTGATTCTATCTGCCACTGACCTGATGTGGAAAGATTATATCAAATAGATCAATAGGTCTGCCGCTAGGAAAATGAATCTTAAATATCTACAAGTCTAACAAAAAACCATGCTTAGACTACTGTTGCCACAAATAGTCTTGAGCTGTTGCTATATATTTAAAGATCTTTGATAAAATCCAAAGAAGAATCTGCAATGTTATTGCACATTACCTGGCATCTCGACTGCAGTCACTTTCCAACAGACGTAATGTAGTTTCCCTATGCCTTTTTTAGAAATGCTTCCATGGTAACTGTTCTGGTGAACTCTATTGTACCTAGACTCCATGAATTTAAGCGGAGAACTAGATTATCGGCAACATCTCAGCAATTTTACAGTCGAAATGGCCAGATTTAACAGCACGTTCTATGCAAATAGGTTCTTTTCTCACACTTCTCACGTGTGGAACACTATTCTGTCTTTTTGCTTTCCAATCAATTTTGATCTTCAGATATTTAAATGTAATGTCAATTGTTATCGCCTCTCCTCTTAAATTCTCTTCTTTTATTGGTCTCTATTCTTAATAATATTTTTCTCATATCCTTTCACACTCAGTAACCCACAGGAGATTAGTGGCTGTGTTACCCAGCCTGTGGTGAAATGATTACACACACACACACACACACACACACACACACACACACACACACACACACACACACACACACACACATATATATATATATATATATATATATATATCGTTATACCTGTCACATCAACACATTCAGAACAATGGCAGGTGCACGATGAAGAAACTTTTTTATTTCGGGCAACGGATCAATGAACACTAATGATTTTATATATATATATATATATATATATATATATATATATATATATATATATAATATATATGGTAATCCCTATGAATAATCCCAAGGAGGATGAAATTCGGAGAGCTCAATGTAATTTTTTCAAAACTTGAAAGTGAAGTCTGACGATCCAGAGAATAATAAATTCTATGGGGAAATAAATTATTACAATGGTACTTTAAAGTGGTCTGTTTTTTCATTAAATTAAATAATATATATATATATATATATATATATATATATATATATATATATATATGTGTGTGTGTGTGTGTGTGTGTGTGTGTGTGTGTGTGTGTGTGTTTATATATCTATCTCTATATATATGATATTAGAATATATATATATATATATATATATATATGATTTTATACCCACATATATATATTTATATACATATATATATTATTTTATACATGTATATATATATATATATATATATATATATATACATATATATATATATATATATTTTATGCACACACACACACATATATATATATATATATATATATATATATATATATATAGAGAGAGAGAGACACAGAGAGAGACAGAGAGAGACAGAGAAAGAGAGAAATGTTGGCGTTCATTGATCCTATGCCAAAAATAAAAAAAAAATGTTTCTTCATCGCGAACCTGCTTTTGTTCTGATATATGTTCATGTCACAGGCATCAATGATAAGGAAAAAGTGTTGAGAAAACGAAAGAAAAGTTTAACTGAACAGGTGAGAATAGAAGTGGATGCTCACGCAAACGACGATTCAGGCTTCTATGCGTTTTACAAGATCCCAAGATCCATTTTCATCATCGTTCCCGCACCTGCTATATAAGTTAGCTTAGCCTACGACAACACATGTCACGTTATTCTGACGGAGGTCATTCAAGTTTCTTTTTCCTGAAACGACTGTCAACTCTCGTCGTTCTCCTACGGACGCAATCTGTTAATTTCTCAACGGCGGCAAAACTAAAATTGCCTCCAGGTAAATGATTCTTTGCATTGTTTTAACGAGGTAAGAATTTTACTGTGTAGGACAAGTAAAAGAAGCCAGGGAAAAGTAATTGAAATGTAGTATTTTAACGAATGGCTGCACTAATCGATGTAAATTTCTCTTACGATATGACATGCTGCTTTAACCATGTTTTCCACCCCAATCATTTATTCTGAAATAAAAAAAAACTTCAAGTAACATTGAAAATAGTCATCTCTCTCTTTCCCTTCTCTCTCTCTTTCCCTTCTCTCTCTCTTTCCCTTCTCTCTCTCTTTCCCTTCTCTCTCTCTTTCCCTTCTCTTTCCTTCTCTCTCTCTCTCTCTTTCTCTGTTTCTCTCTTTCGACAGAGGTACACTTTTCTCGGGGGTGGAGGGAATATCCAATCAACAAAATCGCTACACACTGTATCAGCCTTTTTTTTTTGTTTTCCTACGAAAATTGGCCTTAAGAATCGATAACAGACTTACGTTTGAAAAACGGAAATTAATTTTGAAGTGGTACTGGAAATTGTGAGAACGGAAATGAGTGCAGAGTCATTAACACTGAACAAGCATCTAGGTTTTCAAGAACATCATCATCTCTCTCTCACTCTTGCTACACCCCCCCACACACAAACATATATATATCTATATATATATATATATATATATTTATATATATATGTATATATTTACATGATGGAGACTTCTTATCGAAATGAATAGTCAAACTACCCGCACATATGATATGATAAAAGTGATGAAGGCCTGTATAGATCGATCCATACTTTTCGGAAGTACGGAATACAGAGAACTGGTGGGTATAGAGAGACACGCGGTCTGCGACCCCCCCCGCCACCGTTGTCTTTTTGCTAGTCTGATTGTGAACGATTGCTGTTCCGTACAGACTTTCATGACATACGCCATTTTTCAAACTGCCGCTTAGCTGTTATTTATAACAAGTAATAATATTATATAGTCTCATCTGCCATTCTGTGAGCATCCTCCTCTGACATGGTGGCTCAGCTTATATTTTTTTATTCTAACATAATAAATAATAGACATCACTTTAGGAGCAAGGCTATACACACACACGCTTATATATATATATATATATATATATATATATATATATAAAAAATAATAGACATTACATTATGAGCTAGGTCTCTCTCACACAGACATACAGACTCACACACACGCGCGTGAACAAACACACAAACGCACGCACACACATGCAACCAGTGTAGGAGAAAGAAACTCTTTAAGCAAAAGCTAGAAGTCGACAGCATAAAAAACAAACCGACCTGTCATGTTGTTTCGAAGTAAGGACACTGACAGCCCCCCCCCTCCAAAGCCACTACTTCGAGTCGCGACAGAACATAATAGAGAGATTGGGATTAGTAGAATGGTTCGAACAAAACACAGGCTGGGACACGATACGGCGCCGTGAACCTCTCAGATTTCGGACCATTCGCCCAGGGGTGTATCACCCACGTCACCTTGGACAACGATACGTGGGCCTATAGATGATGCCTGTATTTATGTAGAGTTCAAATAGGAATAAAACGGAATGAGATATGTGTAGAAGAATTTGGAAATTGAAGAAAGCATTTATATTTCAAACATATCCATATATGCGGGGCAAATATTCACTTGTTAATATCTGTGGACGCCAAAACAGAAAATACATACATGTCCATATAAAAAAAAAAGACGCGCATATATTTTTCTGTAGGTCTATGTATGTGTATCCTGATCTTATATATATGATTGATTAATTGAATCGTTTTCTACGACTTATCAACCCTTTGCAGGTTATTTAATGCCAGGAAACTTTTTTTTTAGATTCCAAAAATTATTTGTTTAGATAATAATGGTTTTTTTTTTGTGATACAAGTATTACTATTTAACCCATACCTGGGAAGATAAGATGTGGATTCATAACTTTCCCAAATAAGATTTGGGCATATGTGAATATAACGAACCCGACTGGAATTGGAAATCGGCTCTCCATGTTAGAGTGTGTGAGTGTGTGTTGTGTGTTTGTGTATGGTTGGTTGTGTGCGTGAATCTATGGACGTACACATACACACACACACACACACACACACATATATATATATAGATATATAATTCAATTAAAAGAGGTAAAATAGTACACTACTTACTACTGCAGTTTCACCAATTTGGATCACCGGTTAATAAGTGTTTAAAAACAATTAACGTATGTTATATATTATGGAAGATCTGAAAATGGTATAATCATTAATCTGCTGCTAGACAGGTTAACAAAATCTATATTCTTTTATGATTAATATTCACCAATATTTCGGTCTTTTCATTTAATAAATTTGGCTGGTAGGGAAAGGTGACTATGGCCATTTTTTTTCTTTTTCGACACCTCACCTCCATTAAGGCTCTGTGCCTTTTTAATCATATTCCATTCTATCCATTCGCGTATGTGTTTTTTTTTCTTTCTCTACCCCACCGCCTCGTGCACATCGTTATAGCTTTACTATTTTTTATACATCTCTAAGATGAAGAATGTTCTATGAGTTTCAAAGGTTACTTTGTTCGATCCAATGCAGGTTTCTGCGTGGTGTTCCTCGAATTTTACTATAGATTGTGCTTTTAATTGGAAATTGCCTTGACTTTCCTAATATTTCAATTAAATGTTTCGTTCGGTACCTATTATTTCGAGAGATGCTGATCCAGAAATCCATCTGTACAATTTTTGTTCTAGCATTTAGATTCAATGGGGCCCCGAACTAATTTATATTTCATTTTCTGTTATTATTCTTTTCTGTTGGAGATTCCAGTTCTATGACATTTCATTTGGAATTGTGATCCTCAGGTTTCAGAGCCATTTCCTATTTCTTTATCGGGGTGTATATATTTACATCAAATTTAAATTTTCTCTCTCTCTTTACACACACACACACACACACACACACACATATATATATATATATATATAAGCTTCAGTAAAAAATGACTGACAAGCTACTGTTTTTTTATTTATTTTTTCTTGTATTCTTATAATTTATTATGTAAAAATTAATTTAAAAAAAAGCCAACACTGCATAACATCAACTATGGACATGATCACAATGTTCTGACCGTGTTTGGAAAATAGTACATTCCTATAACTTAAGATACAGGCATCAGAAATCATTACATTTAGTTAAAAGTGAAGACAAAATGAGCTGTGATAATGGCTAAAAGTACAGAGTAACCTTGGTTCTCAAACATGTATATATTTACATCAAATTTAAATTTCCTCTCTCTTTTACACACACACACACACACACACACACACACACACACACACACATATATATATATATATATATATATATATATATATATATATATATATACAATTAGATCTGATCAAAAATATCGAAACTGTTTCTATGGTAACGTAGCTAAAGTACACACGAAGTTATCTGTCTCTAACTCTGAGATGACGTATTATGATTATATACATAATTTACATTATTCGGACTGTTATTCTCATCTTCATTGCCATATTCACAGCGTTTCGGCCGTTGTACACTCCGGCCTTTTTCAGGTGACTGTATCTAACCAATATACGTCTAGTAACTGGATCCGGTTGGATCCAGTGACTAGACCCAAAGAGTTGTGAGTTCAATACCAGGCTACAGCAGTGGTCAACCAAAATAACTTGGAGAGTTGAGTTAAAGGGAAATAACTGAGAGACATGTGCTTGAGCAGGTGCCTGCAACAGGGATTAGCAAGCAGGCGTAAGTAATCGGTAATGAACAATCAGGCATTTTTATTATTACATATGAACACTTCAGTTTTCAGTCAAATATACAGAACACGTTGCTAATTATAATTATTTAATAAATATATGTATAACCCTTTAAGCCCTGTAGAATATTTTTGTTAGGATTGTTTGAAATATGAGTCACGGCAAAGAAGAATAGCTCGAAGCCAATTGATTTTCTTTTTACAAGATATTACTTAAATCTAAAAGTGGATCTTTCAATGATTTCTTTTTTACGACTTATCAACTCTTTGCAGGTTAATCAAAACTGAAACTTATTTTAGATTGAAAGAATAATTCTGTTTTGCTAGTGAATATTGCATTAACAAGTTTTTGGCGATAACAATGATTTTTTTTTTTAGATATAATTTAACTACTATTTAATACATAGACGGGAACGTGAAAAGGTGGATTCACATTTTTTACAATGACATTTACTCTGTACAAATCTCCAGAGCTTCTCCCTGTAGAAGGTTACAAAGAAAAGGGTGGGGGACACTGTTTATGCAAATATGAGGGCAGGATAAAAGTTAAGCCAAGCCTTGAGCAGATTGTAAGGATCGGGGAAAGAATTTTCTTGGAAGTCGGTTGCACTGAGCAATGGTTTATAGGAAGAATCTGTTTGAGTGGAACTTCCATCTCACCAATGGAATATGAAGTAAATGACGATGATTCGCTATAATGTGAATGGTATGGCAGCTCTTAGCCGTGAAGGTTAGAACTGGTGAAGCTAATGAATGTAGTTCGTTCATCTTAACACTTTCCATGGAAACAGCGATAGAGCAGCAAGAGACTTTTCGTCGGTGAGAAAGGTGTTGTAGGGTGGGAAATTATGTGTCACTTTTCCTTTGCGTGTAATTGAATGTAAAGAACTCGACTGAAATTCGAACTCGGGTCCTAATTTCTTATTCCGACAACACCACTCGCATATCCCGGAAGAGTGTGCAGTATATTTGTTTTGACTTTCCACCATTTGTATTTGTACGAAGAATAATTGTCTATTTGGTGCATTGGCATGATTTTAAATTTACCTTGATTACATTTGTAGATGTGCTGTGATACAAAGAATTTAGGTTTGTCTGCATTTGTGAAGGGACAACATAACTATATCCAAACCTTAGGACCAGCGATGGAAAAGAAAATGGCATTGGGACCGCAGAAGAGATTAGATTTCAAGAACGATGCATTTTTAAATAACATAAGTAATTAAAAGAATCTACCTATTTTTAAAATTTAATAACGTTCATCAAATTAGAGATATTTTGAATCTTTTTGTTTTATTCAACATTTAAAGTTGTTTTCAACAGAGAACTAAAAATATGCAATATTTAGCATTGTCGAATTCTAACAGACAACATTTGAATAAAGCCCGCCAAAATGTAGCTTGGACGTGAATCAAGAATTAATAAAACCATAATATATCACTATAACTTGTAAATTTATTTAACAAATCCAATGTAAAAAAGGGATTTATTTAAATAACATAGTTATTTCGTTTGAAATATTTTGTAGTTGGGGGACATACATTTCAACATCTCCCCAATTTCTCTTAAAGAATATTTGAGCGCAAAATTGCATCCTTGGTTTCTCTTTTCCTAATATCAAATTCTGATGTCATTTTGCTTTTTAGCAGATCTTGACTTGCAATCGTTTTGACATTTCTAATATACAATAGCGGAAACAAGTATTCGTACACCTAATAATGAATAAACATACTTTTCATATAATTAACTTTACACAAATGTATAATAACGAAATATGCATAGAAAACAGAATATTTGTTCTCCCGACCCACCGTATCTTGGTACTGCTAACGGGGGTGTGGTGATCTGTGTGCAACCATTGATTGGGCACATCATTACACTAAGCAAAATGTGTGTATTTAATAACCAAGGCTAAGGTTTGTTCCCGGTTTCAGTATTTAATTCACAGCTTTTGTAACTCTAAACAATGACTGTCCCTGTTCAAACTTTTGATCATCACAGATTATGCACGCTTTCTCACAGATCGTACAACACCCAGTTCTTGATAATGACTGAGTTAAAAGTACGCGAATATAAAACAAAAAATATGAACTTCAATCCCGATTTAGAACACCTCATTCTGAAATTGGAGGAATAAAATAAAAAAGTTTAATAGACATTGCCGTAAGAATTTTATAAAACATGTTTAGTTGAATTCTTGCTACAAGAAAACACCCACACACCTGTGTGTGTATGTGTCTGTATTTGACATATATTTATTACGTTAAACGTTGAGTAGACGCCCATGTTTAAGTAGACGCATCGTTTATTTTTTAAACAATATTTTATTTTCGTCTACCGGTCTGAATATTTCTTATTAAAGAGCACACCATCCATTACGCCACCCGCATATCCAGGCTTACAGTACCTGCAATTCAACGCTACTGATATGGCCCGACATTGCTTTTCGTTGATTGTACAGGAACTTGTGTTTCACCGTGATGTCACCGGAAGCCTGTCGTTGGATCCCAATGTTATAGTTCACAATTGCGATCTGGTGAAAAGGGAGGTACACATCCGGGTTCTGAAGCCAACCAATTTAGAAAACTTGCGAGATGGGGTAATAATAATATGGACCCACATTTCGAAAGAGTGCTTCCAGAAAATATTAGAATTCATGACAAGAAGATTTGAGGCAATTCTAAGTTGGTTCAAAACGGTGCTACAAGAGTATATCAAAATAAGGCGATCAATGATTACATGCTTGTATTTGTGGTTTATTTCTTTAACAAAAAGAAAGAAAAGGGAAAAATAGGCAGGTTTTGTATACTAAAAAAAAAAAAAAAAGTGGAGCGTTTCCTCATTCCGACCAGACGACGTTGGCTAACATGTTGACGACAGTTGCTTTAAGGTTACCGAAAAGCGAGGACTCGTAAAAGCAAATAAAAGCTCTATCTTATTGACCAAAATTCTAATTTATCTCTCTCTGGAATGGTTAATATAAAAATTTATCATCAGCACTGAAGGCATTTTCAAGATAAGATTCTTATTGCATAAGTTACATTCTACGCGTTGGGAAGTTGGCCATATGTATGGATATACACGTACGGTAACAGGAATAAATCATGAACATTGCACAAATGTTTATATTTACATATAAGTAAGGTTCTCCCAAAAGCTGAATATACAACAATGGAATAATAGTTTGGTGCCTGGCCACTTGTATCCGAGTATGTCAGTCTCCTAGAGTAGAATCGCCTCACCAGTCTGATAACATCGACTATGATTATATATATATATATATATATATATATATATATATATATGATTATTTAAACATATATTGTTAAATATAATAGACACAGCGAATGTCTGTTAAGTTTGATCATGAGCCGTTCTAAGCTTCGAAAGCTTAGATCGAGTAACAGGATAATAAAAAAAAATATCCCAATGCTGAACAGTTTTTATTTTTATTTTTTTTCCTAAACTAAAGCCACTAAACGAAGCTTAAAACGGCTCATGATCAAACATAATAGACATATATATGAAAGAGAAGAGGTCATGCTACCTGTGATGGACCAATAGATATGCGTAGTTTGGACATAATATTTGAATATCGTGAGAAAATGTGCAGCGTTGATTTCAGTGTACATTGTTTCTGTCCATATCACTCTCTCTTTCTCTCTCTCGGTTTTACTCTCTCTCTCTCTACACACACACGCTCACATATACACAGACATACATACACACAAATATATATATATATATATATATATATATATATATATATATATATATAAAAAAAGAAATATGTTGTAGTGGTTCCAACGAGAGAAAATTATGTATATTAAAAAGAAGAGGGGGTGCCGCAAACGTTTTTTTGGTTGTAATGTGGATTTATTGAGAAAAAATATTATACTTTGTTTTACATAATTTCACGACACGTGTTTCTGGTCTGGTCTCGCAACCGTCTTCAGGTGAAAGTGGAATTTTTTTATGAGACATTTACATATTATTAAAAATAATTAATTTTTCTTCATGTTCAATGCAGAATATTCTTGATATGAAAGAAATTCTGTTTGCCAACACACAAACAGAATTTTCTTTAGAATATTCCACATTGAAACATGAAAAAAATTAAATTTTTAATAACTACTCGCTGGACCAAACTTACCTGAAGACGGTTGCGAGACCTTCACCAGAAACTCTTCATTGAAATTCTAAAAAAAAGTTCAGGATATTTTTCTCAATAAATCCACATTACAACCAAAAAACGTTTGCGGCACCCCTCTTCTTTTTTATATATATATATATATATATATATATATATATATATATATATATAATTAATATAATAGATTTTTCGCTTAGCTGATTGATGTTCGACTCCAGAGTTTCGTAGTCGAAACCTCGAGGGATTGCACCATATGTTTATGTCAGTAGCAATTTTATATTATCAATGTTTGTGAATGAGTGTCTCAGTTTTTCTGTCATCTTTCCCGTTTATCATTTTATATAAACGGCATCGAACAGTGACATCAAACATTATTGCAGTCGCTATTTTCTTGCATGGTTTCTCTCTGTCTCGCTCTCTCTGTCTCGCTCTCTCTGTCTCGCTCTCTCTGTCTCGATCTCTCTGTCTCGCTCTCTTTGTCTCGCTCTCTCTGTCTCGCTCTCTCTCACAGACACATACATGTAATTAAAACATTTGTTTCATTACGGCAGATTTTTTAGCCCAATTTTCTGTTTTTTTATTTACCTAACTTAACATTTTATTGAACAGATTTATGAGTTCAAAGCCAACAGTTAAAGCCATGATCTCTAAGCAGAAATGTATTATTTGATTGATTGATGTTTTTCGTGTTATATATATATATATATATATATATGTGTGTGTGTGTGTGCGCGCGCGCGCGCGTGTGTGTGTGAGTGAGAAAGGGTGCGATGAGTAAATTGTCGCCATTTTCTGTTTTTAATTACGCGCATGTGCGTTGTTTGTCGACTGCACAGTATAGTAAGGTCAGTTGGGCAGAAATATGGAAATACATTAATAAATATATCGATAGATATTCAAAAACTCTCCCAACTCCCCACCCTTGTATCTCTTTCTTTCTTTCTGTACTGTTCGGTGTTCGTGCAAGTACCTCCAATATGGACAGTTCAGAGTGTTAGTGTGTCAATGTGAGAACATTGTAGAGGATTCGGCAAGAGTTGGTGAGTTTAATGCTGATTACGAAGGTACGGCAGCACGGAAAAACTCACTCTGATTTTTCTGATAAGGAAAATAATTCCCGAATTTTGGGGTGAGGGTCTCAGACTCACATCAAGTGCCCTGAGAAGGTAGTACTATCCTGGGTCAAGCTGGTGAAAGACCCTATGCCTGGCAACCTGACTCTGCACCATGCTACACAAGCATGAGAACCTAGTCATGGCTGTCAGGTTATTTCTGCGACCACATCATCCCTTACATCTGGCCACATAACTCCCCAAACTGCAACCCCCTTGATTATTGTGTGTGGGGTGCAGTTGAGTGAGAGACCAATAACATTCCATGTAACACCAAAGATGAACTGAAGGCAAGGATTATGGCAGCATTCACCAACTTAAATAAGCAGACCATCCAGAAGAGTTGCAGGCGATTCCGAAGTAGTTTGGACGCCGTGGTTGAAGCCAATGGTGATTTTATTCAATAAATTTACTCTTTACTATTTCAAGATATTTTTGAGTAATTTTAGTAAATATATCTGTTAAAATGAGATGTCAGTGTTATTTTCATTTTCGTGTAATTTAGACGACAATTTCTCCATTGCTTTCTGTAAACATGCATATGATCATTGCAACAAGATACGCAAAAATGCAAACAAACATTTGAAACAAAAAGTATTCTTTGAAAAACAATTAAAATCGTTTGAGAATTTTAAATATTATTTCTTATGGTGTTTTAAGCTAAAAGTATGCTCATCTGTGTCAGGCTGTTAGAAGAATTACGTTTGGCATTATCGGACTGGTATCTTTGGTTCCTGTGTTAAATTTCAACAATTGTTAGACACACTAATCGTTTTCTTCGAGCAACATACTTATTAGTCCCTAAAGACATTAATGCTGACATGGTTGCCACATTAGGGGATGACACTCCGGCTTTATCAAAAGTAGAGAAATGGGCTGTTGAATTTAAGAGGGGAAGAGAGTGTTTTGAAGATACTGTAAAGTGTCTATACATCCCACAACTGACACCACCAAGTAAAATATTGATCGTGTTCACCACAAGGGGATGAATGACAGGCGACTGACCAAATCAAATAACCAATTTTATTAGCATATCCTGTGAGAAAGTTTAAGAATATTCTACATAATGACCAAAATGTCCAGGAAAACTCAGAAAAGAGATTTTGTTTCACCAGAACAGTACCTAGCACACAAGTGCTTATTTTTAATGGGTGACTGTGGTTTTGTACTAGTTCGATCACCATCCCTATTGTCCTGATTTGTTTATCATCTGTTCTCCAACATGAAAAGACATATGGCTGGGAACCGGTGTCGCAGTATTGGAGATATTATATCGGCTTTTTTGACCAACAGGAGGAACAGTTTTGTTTGAACAGTCAGACGCCAGTTTACCTGAAAATAAACAATACAATTATTAATAAGAAGAGGAGAAATTAATGCATGGAAGATTTCATAGCTCTAGAATCGTTTCTTCATTGTCAGCCTATAAACCTTTCAGCCCACCGCCGTGTATAATATTATATTCGTTGCAAGAAAATGTTCGAGAATTCAGTAACGAAACTCATTCGCTAGTTCCCACTGTGTTCTTTAAAACTGTCTCTTTTAAGCCAGTTCAATTGTTCGCAATGTCTAGGTCAGATTCCGTACTATATTAGTTTTCTATACATGTATGTAGACACGCCTGTTAATAAGGATATTTAAAAACAAAATTGATCCAGAGTCATATATATGTCCTAATGTATCTGTATAAATATGAATATAAACCTAATTATACTTGTATATGCTTATGAAGGTTACTTCGATATATGTGTACGTGCATGTACATTCATCTAATTTTAATGTCTATATCCACACATATACACACGCATATATATTTATAGATCAACTTTTCAAATTAAATTTCCTTCAAATTAAGTTTCCTTTTCAGAGGAACCATGCACTAATGAGTCCACGTATATACCAAATGATTGTCCACAAATACTTATATCGGTAGATATTCAAACAATCTCCCAACTCTCTCCTCCCCTTGTATCTCTTTCTTTCTTTCTTTCTTTCTTTTTCTTTCTTTCTTTCTTTCTTTCTTTCTACAAAACCGCACACACACACACACACACACACACACACACACACACACACACACACACACACATATATATATATATATATATATATATTAAAAAAGTTATTTTTAATTCAGCCGACTAGTTGATTGATTTTATTTTTTTGTATATCTGGAGCATATTCCTGGATAAAAAGTTCAAATTTCTTTCTGTATGAGAGTTCATTCGACCATCTCGTACACACAGAGTATAATGAATTTTAGAACCGTTTATCCATAAAATTGATATGAATATGCAACAATATGATAAAACATTAGTCGGAAAAATGGTACAAAAATTAAACACACACTTCGTCGGTAGACATTTTATAAAATAATCTTGAATGAACCCTTGCTACCTATAACGTATAAACACTCACAGAAGCACAGGTATATATATTTACTTCTTCAATCGAAAACATTCCAGCACAGGAGCACAGACATATAATAATAATAATAATAATAATAATAATAATAATAATAATAATAATAATCAAACTCTTTGCCAAAGACGACAATGAGTTGAAAGGCCTCCTCAATATAGTAAAATACTTCAGTGACGACATAGGCTTCGGATTAGATAAATGTGCAAATGTAACATTCAAGAAAGGTAGAATTACATTAGGAATTAGCGAAAATGATGGCATACAAAACCCCCAAATGAAGAAAAAAATAAGAAAAGAGTACTACAGGCGTGGACGTCTGGTACTAAATACCGAGCTAAACTCAAAAAACAGAATATCAGCCATAAACACATTGGCTGTCCCTGTGGTGCAATACAGCATTAATGCCCTTAACTGGACCATAGCTGAAATTAAGCGAATGGGCACCAAAACGAGAAAACTTCTCACTTGCTATCGAATGCATCATCCCAAAGCTGATGTTGATCGTCTGTATGTGCCCAGATCCGAAGGAGGCAGAGAATTAGTTCAACTAGAACTGTCCTACAAAACTACACCAATTGGCCTCCAAAGATACTTGGAAACTACAGAAGACTGGATGATGGTATGTGTCAAGGAACATGAAAGTAGTAAGCGTCTTTACTCCGTAATAAAAGAAGCCAACAAATTCAAAATGGAGTTTCAAATGGGCGTAGAGATGCAAGCACAACACAATACACCGGCTGAAACTGCAAAATGCTTAAAAAAGACAGCAAAGACCAATGCAACCGACCAGATACAGAAGCGATGGCAAGATAAACCGCTTCATAGCCAATACTCTGCCCATACCAAACAAGCTGACGTAGACAAAACCCGTACCCATCAGTGGCTACGTAGTGCAGGGTTAAAAGCTGAAACTGAAGGTTTTATCTTTGCTGCACAGGACCAATACTTGCTAACTAGGAATTATCAAGCACATATACTAAAATATTGTGTTAGCCCAAAATGCAGATTCTGTGATAAATATCCAGAATTATTGCCCTGTAACAGTTGGGATGTCGGAAAGGTTCATATGGTTGCAAAGTTCAACTACTAATAGATAAAATGATGTTGGAAAATTGCAGGAAAAAAGGTAGAAACCTCAGTACAGCGTGGAAAGATTATCATAAAGCCTTTGATAGTATCTGTCTATATTTCTGAGATGAGGTATTATGTACACTATTTACATTATTCGGACTATTGTCCTCATCTTTGTTGCCATATTTATTACAACGTTTCGGCCTTTCAGTATCTGTCTATATTTCTGAGATGAGGTATTATGTACACTATTTACATTATTCGGACTATTGTCCTCATCTTTGTTGCCATATTTATTACAACGTTTCGGCCTTTCAGTATCTGTCTATATTTATGAGATGAGGTATTATGTACACTATTTACATTATTCGGACTATTGTCCTCATCTTTGTTGCCATATTTATTACAACGTTTCGGCCTTTCAGTATCTGTCTATATTTCTGAGATGAGGTATTATGTACACTATTTACAATATTCGGACTATTGTCCTCATCTTTGTCACCATATTTATTACAATGTTTCGGCCTTTCAGTATCTGTCTATATTTCTGAGATGAGGTATTATGTACACTATTTACATTATTCGGACTATTGTCCTCATCTTTGTTGCCATATTTATTACATCGTTTCGGCCTTTCTGTATCTGTCTATATTTCTGAGATGAGGTATTATGTACACTATTTACATTATTCGGGCTATTGTCCTCATCTTTATCCACTGTCCTTGAGGACACATGGCACAGTGGATAAAGGCGTTGTTTAGATCCAGTGACAGGACGCAAAGAGTGTGAATTCAATATCTGTTTAAGGAAGTGGAGAACTTTCAGAGGGGAATTAACAGGAGATAACTGACATCCATTAGACATGGCACGTGGAACTAGAACCGTCTACCCCAATGAGCGGAATAAAGGGTTTAGTTCGACATTCCAACCACCTGTAGAAGGCCGGAACGTACAACGGTCGAAACGTTGTGATAAACATGGTGACAAAGATGAGGGCAATAGCCCGAATAATGTAAATAGAGACTTTGATAGTGTGCCACAATCTTGGATCCTTAAGGCTTTGGAAATGTGCAAAGTCTCCTCGGGGATATTGAATTTCCTGGAATATAGCATGAAACCATATTAGACCTAAATCACTTCCAATTGGTTTGTTATAGTGGAACACACCTATTCTATAGTTAATAGACTCTCCCACCTATAATAAGTAGGAGTAGTAAGAGTAACGAGTAAGTCGCTCAGTGGGTTCGGTGAGTCAGTCGATGTCGGACGACCGTTGGTCGGATACTAAAGTATCAGCGATCACAACTATATTTTCTCTGCGTCATACCTATTATATGAAGTTCCTAAAGTTTTGTACGTCGAACCTGTTTTAGGACCGACTTAGTACAAATACAAGCCTCCACTGTGAAATCACCCCATAACATAGTTTAATATCCAACGAAGAAATCTTTCAAGGAAACTCCTTGTCGCCCCTTCTCTTCTGTCTCTCCTTAATCCTTCTTTCGCATGAAATAAACAGTAACAACTATGGATATAAAATAAAAAAAAGAAATCATTTAATCGCCTATTTTAAATGAAATGATATCTAACCCTTTTCCAAAGACGATAACGAAATCCAAGTAAGAAGAAATAATAATAATAATAATTATAATAATAATAATAACATTTATGGATATATGTAAAATTTTTGAATTTAACGTATGTCAAGACGAACAGTGTTCTTGTCCACAAAGTGCTATATAGTAACGTAGGGCAATAATTCTTGTATCGTGTCCTTCTGTTGACCATGTATATTAAGGACGTTGGTGATCATTGCTCTCCACAATTTCCTGTCTATTAAAGCTCTTTCCTAAAACTCCATTTACTGATGCTCGTTAGGCAGGCGTTATGCGTTGTCCGTCATATCTTTAATATGTCTTGTGAGTATCAAATTATCCAAGTTCTCTTTCCTCATTATATGTCCTGAAAATCTAAAATGTCTCTTTTTGATGACAAGTATAAGTGTCCTTTTAATTTCCATTGTCTCTAAAACTGCATCGTTGCTCACATGTTCGGTCCATGGTATTCTCAGCATCCTTCTGTAGAACCACATTTCTGTTGCTTCATATCTCTTCTTCATCTGTGATGAAATTATACAGCATTCATTGATATATAAAAGAACTGGTATTAAATAATAGTTTAGTACTTTTTTCTTTGTTTCTAAAGAAATTTTCCATTTCCTTAATACATTGCTTAACATTTGGAAGACATCTTTCATTATCCCAATACATCTTCGAATTTCAGGGTCACACTTTCCGTCTTCTGTTAAAACATTTTCTAAATATTATTAGGTTGGTGCAAAAATAATGTCGTTTTTTGACTTTATCTTTAAAAGAGAAAACGACATTATTTTTGCACCAACCTAATATAAGTGTTGTATTTATTTGATTTTTATATCTCCAGTTTATAATTAGCATATTGAAATATTCCTTTTGTTAACAACCATGCATTCTATCTTCTTCCAATTGGTGTTTAGTCCTTTCTTCCCACTTTACTACTGTTTGTAGCGATGCTTTTTGTTTCCTTTCCGTGTCTGCTATCATCTTGTGTTGTTAAGCTTGTGTCCACCAATAATGAATCGTGGTAGGACTTCTAATTTTACATTGTTTACATTGTTTTGCTCAATTTTGTCCCTTACTTTTGGACGATCCTATTTTGAAAATAAATAAATAATTGTTATAATTATTTTTCTATCCTTTGCAAATGATTCAAATTTTAGTATGTTATTATGGATGATAACGACTACCAGTTGTCAAAATTTCAGCTTTTCACAGTTGTTATTTCTAACAAAATATTAGGTTTTAAAATGTTGTCCCTTAGTTTTGGACGCTACTGTATATATATATATATATATATATATATATATATATATATATATATATATATATATATATTGTGTATTTAGGCAGCATATTTTCATTTATACACGTTTCATTAAATAATATAGACAAGTGTTGTCTATTTATTTTATGTAAAATTTTTTCGTATCTTCTGATAAGTTTGGTAACATTATCATTTACCGAAAAAAGAAATTCACAATATTTATCCATTATTTTTAATAAAATCTAAGCTTTCGGCTTACTCAAGCCATTATCAAAGATGTAAATACAAACATATCAAACAATATATGGACACGACAGTGATGATATAGTCTGTCATTGTTATGTTTACATAGTGGATCACTAAGCAACGATGAACACGCGCATATAAGACGCTAGAAGCGAAAATCGCACCGCATCTCATGACGTCACACATGACTACACGAGAGTGAATTGGAGAATGAAATAAGGAAAGCCGTTGGTATAACCAATGGCTTCTGTTACCAATTATTGAAATTATAGACATTTAAGAATATTTGTAGAGATTCCATAGTTGATTTTGTTTAGGTTGGGTTTTAACTGTTTGATGTATAATGCTTCAAGTATTTTTAGTTTTTGTCTATTGTTTTCATGTCGAAGTATAGTTGTGTTTTCGACAAGTATTTTACGGAATTGTGTGTGCGGGCAGGCATGTTGTTTTAAATGCCTAAAAATGTTAGAGTTTTCATTAAGATGTAGTGTCAAGCGTCGTGAAAGCGAGTTTGTGGTGTGACCAACATAAATATTATTTAATTCGTTGGAGATACACTCTCCCAAAGGGCACTTGAATTTATAAACTATGTTGGTTTTTTTACATAAAATAAATAGACAACACTTGTCTATATTATTTAATGAAACGTGTATAAATATATATATATATATATATATATATATATATATATATATATATATATAATTATTTATTTAAAAATATGATTCCAACTCGCGACATAAGAGGTCTTATGTTTCATGCCGAAAACTTCAATATAATTATTTGAATTAAATTGAGTTAAAGTAAGTTCTGTTCCATCTTCAAGCAAAATTTTTTTTGGAATAACGTATTTCTGAAATTTACGTGTTTTAATAATTGAAATCAAAATTTCCATGGTAACAGCTAGTGATTTACTGATACATGTCCTACTAATTAACCCATAGCTGGGGAAGTTTTCCGTCGTCTGGTAATTTGATGTTGCTTCACAAAAACAACATAAAATTTCCAGACATCAGGAAACTCTTTATATCACAAGACATTTATAAATGTAACAAAGGTGAATTTAAAATTATGCCAATGTACCAAACAGACAATTATTCCTAACTATAAATACAAGAAAAAACTTCATAAATAAATTTAAACCAGCGCTAAATAGATCATAGCTCCACACGCAAAAACACACATGTAAACACAATGGCCATATACAGTGGTCGAACCACTCACATACATACGCACACAATCACACGCCGTTGTCTGTGGAGCACAAGTACATATACACATATTGGCAAAAACAAATGGACTACTCACAAGCGCGCGCGCACACACACACACACACACACACACACACACACACACACACACACACACACACACACGAACCCTCCACAACATAAGAAGAGTGTGTATGTATATATACATACGCATACTAACAAAAAAACACACAATACAAAAAATGGAAATAGATCTAAGAATACACAGGGGTCATTAAAAGATAAAGGAATACAGATATCTTTCCTCACTATTTCTCCAACCAATCTTAATTGTTTTATTACTCTTCAAACAGAAGTACTTTCTCATTGCCAATTCAAGAAAGAGATTTTTGTCACTACCACACACAAAAAAAAGAGAATGTTTAACATCGAGAATGTTTAACATCGAGAATGTTTAACATCGAAAAACATCTGGAAAATTAATTTATTCAAATATGTGGAAATATCCACTCTTTGCCTGAAGAAGGTCGCGAGACACGAAACACGCGTTGCAAAATTATGGAAAATAAAGCATAATACATATTTTAAAAAAATCCACATTACAACTAAAAACGTTTGCGGTTTCCCTTTTTTTAATATATATATATATATATATATATATATATATTTTTAATTTTTAATTTTTAATTTTCTTATTGTTCAATATATATATATATATATATATATATATATATATATATATATATGCGCGCGCGTGTGTATAGTTTATGAAGATATGCATATCGGCTCCGTATGTGTTCCTAAATGCAGCCTGGATTGTGTTTCAAAAAAAAAAAAAAAATATATCAAGAATTGAATGTTTTTCAACCCCCGGATACGAATGTCCTTTTTTCCCCTTTTTCTTTGAAGCTGTTTCATTAAATGATTCCCATGGATGAAAAGAAAAACAAAACATTAGCCTCAGGTAATCAATATCAATAAATTGTCAACTTTATGGGTTTTTTTCTTCTCGAAAGAGAGGAGCTTATAAAGAAAATGCTTTATGAGAATTTGCACAGCAATGTCAAAATATCTCCATGCACAAATCTCAAGTGCTGTCTTGAAAGGCGCCTACCGTATAGCAATGATTTGCAAACGAGGCTACCTAACTTCTTTTTAATTATTTCCCCCCAAGCCACTAAGATGCAACGAGTTACTGAGAGGCGGGGGGGGGAGGAAATAGAGAAAGGTTAGGGAAGAAAAAGGAAAATAAAAAGAACGGGACTCAAGATGACGATTGACGTTACATATCAATTTTTGAAGATCTTAGTTGACTGGAAAGCGAAAAGATGGGTGAGAGTCCTACAGGTAAAAATGCAAACGAAGAAATTATTAGAATATCTATCTATCTATCTATCTATCTATCTATCTATCTATCTATCTATCATTTTTCTCAGTTTTTTTTAATCTTTCCCACACTCTATCTATCTAAGACTTTTCTCTCTAATCATCTAACTCACTCGCTCTTTTCTTTCTTTCTTTCTTTCTATCTATCTATCTATCTATCTATCTATCTATCTATCTCAGCCATTTCCCTTTAACAATCTGTCTATCCCTCTGTTTACCTCAGTATTTTCTTTCATTCTATTTATCTATCGCAGTTTTTCTGTGTCTATCTATCAGATTTTTTCTTTCTATATAGCTATCTGTCTTTATAAATATGTATCTATTCATTATCTATCTATCCCAGCCATTCTTTATTAGCCACAAGATGGTATTATTTTAATTTTAACAAAATATGCAGATTTAGATATATGTGTATCTATAATGATGGGAATGTTGCTTTTTTATTTCCCAAACACGATCAGCACGTTGTGGCTGTGTTCATGAAACGCACTCTGTTCATTCAAAAAATAATGTTATCAAGGGAGGTAATTATGAGGATAGAAACAGTGTTTTAAAATGTCTATATTAGCAACGTTTTAAAATACCTATATTGTAATTTTTTGAAAAAATTAGAATTACATCATCAATGTTTTAAATTACTTGATTGTAATTCTTTAAAAAAATTACAAGCATAAATTAAGTTATTTCCCTTGATAACGTTAACGTTTGAATCAACAGAGTGCGCTTCATGCACATTTACAAAAAAATCACAGCTATTTATTACATTAGTTTTTGTTTTAGCAATTCAACCCTGAAGATGATCTTGGATGAGATTGAAACTACTTGAGGAAAGTAAAAAGAATGAGAAAAACTACGGCGCCTTCTTTAACGAGTTTAATAACAAGATTAAGAAATTGATCCGTGAATTTGAAAGTATTAAAATAAAAGTAAATAGAGATAATAAGTCTAGAGTATTCAACCGAGATTAGATAAATTGAGTCTTCCTAAAAATATCTCCGCACTATATTCAAAATAGATCTGCATGTTAGTGAAACAATTACATTACGGCAGAATAAAATAAAATAAAATTTCATTGTTTGCGTATAAATGATGATTTTTTGACAGCAGTATTCAGAAAAATGTGTCTATAGATATTAGGATGATAAACTTAAGACGTACAGAGTGCAACGGAGGAATTGTCGTTTAATTTACGCAAAAATGAAAATAACACTGACATTTAATTTCAACAGATGTTTTTTTTCCAAAATTACCCCAAAATATCTTGAATTAGAAAAGAGTAAATTTATTCAATAAAATCCCCACTGGCTTTAACCCCGGCCTCCAGACAACTTCACAGTCTCATGAAACTCTTCTGTACGGTCTTTTTTATTAATTGGTAAATGCTGCCAAAATGTCTGCCTCTTACCTTTACAAACAGTTTTGTTGTCTTTCGCTCAACTGCGCCTGAAACATTATCATCAAGGGGGTTGAAGTTTGGAGATATAAATGGCCAGATGTAACGTTTGATGTGGTTGCAGAAATTGTCTCACAGCGAAGATTAGGTTCTCTTTCTTATGTGGCATGGTGCATATTCCTCTTTTCAGAAATTAGGTCTTCCAGTAGCCATCCTCTTCATCCAGGGCAGCACTACGTCGTCAAAGCATTTAGGTTGAGTCTGAAGCCCTCACCAACAAACCCGGAAGTTTTTTTTCTTATCAGAACGTTCAGAGTGAGTTTTCCGAGCTCACGTACCATCGTAATCACCATTAGACTCATTCAAATATTTCCGAATCATCTGCAATGTGCTCAGGTTGACACCTAAACACTTTGAAATGTTCGTATTGGTGTTTCTGGAGCGAATGCTAGAAGTACAGCATGCCATTTCTAAATTTCTGGCGAGTGAATTGCTCTTCTTCTCACAGACGATGCTTAAATGACCCTACTCTGCAGTTGACAAAATCCAAAACAAACAACGCGCATGCGCGAAATTAAAAATATATATGGCGAAAATTTACCAATCGCACCCTATCTCTCTCTATCTCTATCTCTCTCTCTCTATATATATATATATATATATATATATATATATATATTGATAAATAAGATATATATTCGAAAACGATCAAAATACAAGTGGAAATCTAAAAAAAATGTGACACACGAGGACATGAATAATTCCAGTTGTAGTTGGAGCCCTCGGATTGATTGGAAAAGGGTCTGAAAGACTCATTGGGGGGATTCCTGGTAGCCCATGCCTTAAAGAAATACAAAAAATTGTACCAAGTCCAACTCATACCTTAGGAAGAGTTTTATCTGTGTAAAATTTGTGTAATTTCAGTTTGTTTTGTTTTTTACAACAGTGATCCGTGGAAAATGGTATGATGCCATTTCTGACCTTAGGTCTCTGGTTGGGACCCGGAACGAGATGAGTATACAACAGAAATCAAAGCAAATAATAATAATAACAATAATAATTTGAACTTTCCTGTTACTTTACCGTTTCCTCCGATTTTATGAGGAATCACAGTCATAGGACAAAGTGACATAATCACTGTTATCTCTTCCCTCATTACAAGATGAGGCGCTGCTGCTATGACTGCTATTAAAAGTTCAGCCTGATTCTATTTCATTGTCAAAGACATTTGTTTTCAAAGAAAAAGAGTCTAACACGCTCGCGCATATAGCCACAAATCCTGTGCCAAGTCAGACGAAACAGAGCAAAAGAACCAAGTCCAGAACACGGACCGAGGCCGACAAACACACAGACACATGTAGATAATGCTATACAAAAATGGAGGCATTGTGACACGCGACTAAGTCACGCGAGCCAACACAAAAGTACGCGGAGCATCTGTCATAGATCAATGGTCGGCAAGCTAACATCGCAAACCGCTATTAATGATTTCCATTCACACAGTGTTCTTCATTATAATGACCTTGCAGCTGAATAATGTAAGCTTCAAAATTAAAAGTTACCTACCGTAGAGCCCTAATAAGTCAACTACACACTGATAGGTTATGGTTCATAAGTACAATACTTAGTGACTGTAACATGCTTCCATGTTCCAGAACAAAGTAAACTTTTTAATATTTACTAAAGGATTTAGGTTGGGTTGGTTATTAATGGGGTAGTCTTCACTGCGCGTGAATGCTATTCATTCAGAATAATTCACTAGTTCGGCCCAAAATGAAATATCTACTGGCGCCTGATCCTTGGTTTGGGTGAGAAATGGTAAAAGAAATCATGTGCGGATTTGGCTGAAAAAAAGATTGAATCCAATTTAGGCCAATCCGTAAAGAAATAAAGGAATATATTGATATTGCGTCCTTACGTAAATAATTGCCTTTTGCCAAAGCTGATCAGGGACAACGAATATCTCAACTTATATGTAATGATCTTGAGTCATCTTGAAAGCAATTGCCATTGTTTACTGACAGAGTGTAAGCAGCGCTGAACATGATAACGATTGCATGTTTGATCGTTTATGAACACAACTATTTCAACGGTTGTTTTTTGCCAAGACATCTACAATGCACACACACAGACACATCAAATGCACACACACACACATATATATATATATATATATATATATATATATATATAAAAGTGACCATGCCTGACAATTGCATCTAGCATGAAACAGCCTGTCGCCTCTAAGTATTGACTTCAATGTTCAGTTTCATATTTACACACGCTCTATCTATGATATTGAGCACTTTATCCCATAGATATAGCACATCTTAAGACTATATTTCTTCATATATATATATATATATATATATATATATATATATAGAGAGAGAGAGAGAGAGAGAGAGAGAGAGAGCTGATGGATGTCATATTCAGCACTTCAACTCGACGAAGATTTTGCAATCGTTCGGTCTACCCGTCAGGTAATTTCAGCAATTGATTGCAAATTTTCTCATTTTCGTTATCATGATGGTAAGTTAAAAATTAATTTATGCGCTTATTGGAATGATGCGTTAGTTAAACATACATGTATATATATATATATAATTATTTATATAATAAATAATATAGCATAAATATAATTATTTATGTAAAAATATGATTGCAACTCGTGACATAAGAGGTCTCATGTTTCAAAACAAGAACCGAAAACTTCAATATAATTATTTGAATTAAATTGAGTTAAAGTAAGCTCTGTTCCATCTTCAAGCGAAATATTTTTAGAATAACTTATTTCTGAAATTTACGTGTTTTAATAATTGAAATCAAAATTTCCATGGTAACAGCTAGAGCAGATTGTTTAAATTGGGTAGGCGTGTGTTGGGTGTTAATAATAAGTATCAGTATAGAGTTACTTTCATAGATGTCAAGTCAGGGTAAGGTGGGGGTGTCTAAATTTGAAACGGAAGATCTTTTGCCTAGTCTGGTTTACGTGTCTATGGAGTTTTATTTATTTTTTATTTTATTTCTTTATGAAAGGGATTTGTGCATATAAAAACTGCCGTAACTTTTGTTTTTTGACGACTTCATAAAGGGTCATCTTTTTTGTAGGGTATTAAAACTATTTATTTGAGCTATGGATTAATTAAGTTATTATATTATATACTTGTTTTTAGCTAATTATTCAAACCATAGATTTGATGATGTCGGCAAAAAACCGTTAAGTCATGTCTATTGTTTAATAGATTATTATTATTTAGAAACTTAATAAAGTGCAGTTTCTCATGGAGGCATAAAGGGCAGGGGCCACCCCAAGTTTTACATGTTCTAGTCCTGTTTATAACTTTCCATTTTACTTTAGGTGTCCTATTTATTTCCTTCAGATGCCAAAAATATCTAGATAGGGAAGTCTGATTTCTTTTATTTATATTGTTGAAAGAACACTTATGCTGCCTCCATCTATCTTTAAAATCATTCTTCGTGGACCCAATGTATATCTTATTAGTGCTAGGGCTCTCAGTGGATGATATAGTACATTGGTATACCACTGATTTGATGCAGCATTTATTTTCTAAAGGGCAGTCTTCTGGGTTTCTACAATTACATAATTTTTCACTGTTATTGTCTGATTTAAGTGTAGGGTTTTTATTAATACTATTCAGGCATGGGGGTTTGTTCAAGATTTTATTATTGTGTTTTTTTTTATTATACCTTCTAGATTTTCAGAGCAGCTGTAACTCAATTTTAGGGTGTTCTTATTAAATATATTACTAAGCTTACTATTGGTGGGAAAGTGTTTAT